TACTTGCTGTTTGTGCGCTGGTATTATAGATGTTTTAAAAGAGCTTCAAGCAACTGACCTTCCTAACAATTTCCTTCAGTTTTCCCTTAAGATCTGAGCATTTTTAGAAGGATGGATCTTTCTCCATCTCCTAATAACTTGAGATGCACTTTCCCCATTGAATATATGAAACTGAATCCAGAAGCAAGTGACAAATTCACTACTCGTAAAAGCAAGTGTTAAAAGCAAAGTTAGCAATGAGAAAGTCACTTCTGTTGTGTTCATTGAAATATTTAGTGCACTGGGCATATAAGGAGGTACCAGTCCATCAGCTTTCAAGTGACTTTGTAGTGCATTCCTCTGCCATGAAGTAAATTGACTTATTTTGGGTGAAGAGACAAGAAAATTTTAAGTGTTTTGAGGTGACTAAAATGAATGTTAATTAGAGTAGAAGTATACTGAGGTTGTTGTTTTTTTACCTAAACAATTAGCATCAGCAGGAATTGCCCAGCTTATATTCTATTAAAAGGGAAGATGTGAAAACACTTGTAGCATCAGGAAATGAACGTAAGCCTCCAATAAGATTCCACACTCCCTGTTTCACGCTATAATAAATAACATGGTTCTTGCTAACTTAAGCCAAACAAAGGAGTAAGTTACCATCAAACGAATTACTGTGTATCTTTAAAAGAGGAGCAACAAACAACTCTACCCCTTGAATGCTGAAGCAGGCAAGCAAAGTACTAGAAATCAGGAAACTGGTGACAGGAACCGTGCTGGATCTGTTTTCAAGGACTGGTGATTTTTGCTGACCCACTGACAAAGCTGTTGTTTGGAACAGTGGGTGTAGGTGACTGACTCATTCATAGAATCATAGAATAGAATCACAGAATCATAGAGTTGGAAGAGACCACAAGGGCCATCGAGTCCAACCCCCTGCCAAGCAGGAAACACCATCAGAGCACTCCTGACATATGGTTGTCAAGCCTCTGCTTAAAGACCTCCAAAGAAGGAGACTCCACCACACTCCTTGGCAGCAAATTCCACTGTCGAACAGCTCTTACTGTCAGGAAGTTCTTCCTAATGTTTAGGTGGAATCTTCTTTCTTGTAGTTTGGATCGATTGCTCCGTGTCCGCTTCTCTGGAGCAGCAGAAAACAACCTTTCTCCCTCCTCTATGTGACATCCTTTTATATATTTGAACATGGCTATCATATCACCCCTTAACCTCCTCTTCTCCAGGCTAAACATGCCCAGCTCCCTTAGCCGTTCCTCATAAGGCATCGTTTCCAGGCCTTTGACCATTTTGGTTGCCCTCCTCTGGACATGTTCCAGTTTGTCAGTGTCCTTCTTGAACTGTGGTGCCCAGAACTGGACACAGTACTCCAGGTGAGGTCTGACCAGAGCAGAATACAGTGGCACTATTACTTCCCTTGATCTTTCAGCATGTCCTTCTGTACCAGCTTGCTGAACAACGTCAAAATAAAGTTTTTAAAAAGTAATCAGTAACTCAAACCAAATCTAAGCACTTCATTTTTCCAGATGCACTGTAGATACAACAGGCAAAAGTTCACAACAGAAGGATAAGAACAGACTAGGATGTCTGAAAGCAGATTTGGCAGCAGAGATCCCCGTGGAGAGAAAGCCCTGATCGTAGTGTCCATCTGACAAGCGAGCCTCCCTACACTTCTACTCTGTGCTCCAGCAAGAGCTGGCTATGTGGTTTCTTGCACTATGAAGGAATACTGGAATATTTTGTTGTTGTATATTATTATAAGCCATGCTTTTGCCAGTGCTTGAAGTATTATTAGTAGTAGAGCTCACTGTTGGAGCACATTCAGTATGCAGTGTTTCAGGGTAGGGTAATTTGGGTTGCCATGCATCCGGAATTTCCCAGACATACCCAGAATATTGCAGTCGGAAGCAGTGTCCAGGCAGAAATTGGCTAAATGTCCAGGAAAATCCAGATGTATGGCAACCCATGTTGGCAGTGTCATTTTTTTTGCAATTTTTTTTTTGTCAAAAAAGTGTCCAGATTTTCACTGTTTGAAATATGGCAACCCTAGCTAACGATTCTCAAAAGACTCCAGCAGTCCAGCCTAGCCCAGGAAGAGAGAAGCTGCTCCAGAGATATTGGGAAGGCCTGCAAGACTGTTAACTTTCAAGCCTGCTTTTGACTATTTGCTGAGATCAAAATATTAGGGGACTTTTTTTGAGACAATGGAGAAAAGTAGGGCCAGTCCTATTATTAGATGGAGCAAGATAGCAGATACCGAGGGGCATGGGGAGAAAGTGGTGGTGAGAACAGAATGTGCCCTGAACTCCCTAGCCTGGTGCCCTTATGTGATACGAAGGAAGCTGCCCATTTGCTGGTTTTGTGTGGGGGTATATTGTTTATGGAATATATATTTTATAAGTTATCAATAGCTATTATAGTCTCAAAAGAGGCTATGTTCACAGATCAGTAATTCATTAGTGGCGACACCAGGAGGCAATGAGGAGCACAGAAGGGGGAAAGTATATATCTAGGTGGCTCAGTAGTGTTCCATATGCTAAGATCTCTGAATGAAAAATAACAGTATATGTTAACGACAGGAGTCCAACAATGGGAGTGGGAGGGCGGCAAGCTCTTTGTTTGGAGATGCTTGCTGTCCTTGGGCACCACCCATGTAGTTCATTGCCAGGGTGTGGGTGGGGGGTATTTCAATAGGAAACAGATGAGAAAATGAGTCCCACTACCAGATGATGGCAATGATCACCTTTGAGGAAAGAGGGTGCAGCAATAATTATAAGTGAAATGGAGTGGGGGTGGGGGACACACAGCAGAAATAGAAACTTCACGCCCTGACACACAGTCATAGGAGCAGAAAAGGAGGCTCCTGATGAAATCTTTGTATTCTTTAAGGCGACTAAGCTGTGAAAGTTGTGGGGAACCCCCACAGCAGTTATTTTTGGGTGCACAATGGGCTTGGGGAGGGGCGGGAAGAGAAACTGGAAGTCCTGGCCTGCAAGAGGGTGGACATCACTGAATGTCACCATATAAATTTATTATCTGGACACATAATTCTACATTAAATTCCTGGATACCTTAACTGTTTTATATTGAGCATTAGTAATTTCTCCAACAGGGAAGACCAGTGTAAATTCTTTACAGCAAATCAAAAGGCTAGATAATGTGCATTTTACCCAAGTCTTCTATATGTCTAACTGGCTAAAACTACTTTCCTAAATGTCAATCACTGCTTTGTTAAAAAGCAGGAGAATTTCTTATAAAGCAAATGAGAATAGTGTCTGCACATTTTTACTTAGATCTGAGGTTCCATAAAAGTTCCTTTTTTGTTTTCTTGAAAGCTGTGGATATGGGCATTATGGTGGGCCAGAGCAGGGAAGGGCAATTAACTGCCTATGTGAGGATGCCCATTAACTGTGTTTTTGCTGGCATAGTCTCTGATTAGTTGTTCTTGGTGTCACCTGTTTTCACACCATGGGGATTTTCTTTGTTGTGTGTTCCTGGCTTAATATCTATATAGGATTGGCCTGTGAGTTAATATAGCGTTTTGATAATGTCTTTTATTTCAAGGTTTGTAGATTGCATCTTGCAGATTTTTTTTTTTTAGCAAAACATGTATTTTCAGTGTAATCCTAACATGTGTTGTGCTAGCACACTACTAATTAAGAATGGTATGCATAATAGATAATCAATAATAAATAGCACCTCTCAAATGGAGAGAGAGAAATTTCTACCTGGGCACTGAAAACTCACCAGATATCTCTGATAACAGAAATCCAAAGAAAGTTATTATTTTATGTAGCACAAATGAGCCACAGTTAACCTATAGAAAAGGGGAAAGGGGTCATCTTATTATCCATTTCAAAAAAGGTGCTATAATGTCCTTTGACAGAGCACAATTCAAAAAACTACCTTCCATTTCTGTACTTTGACATTTTCTGAATTCTAAAAAATGAAGTCATTAATGTTAATGATAGGCTTAAAGCTTTAGTTAAACAAATATTTTTAAAAGGTTAAAACCAGATTGAAAGGAAACTTGCCTGTTTTAGCACTCTGAAGTTTGAAACCTAAATCTCTTCTCAGTAATGCATAGTCCATATTTTCAGTATGGAGGACAGAATATTTAAGTTGACAGGGAGGCTGCTGTTTTATACGGAGAAATTGAAAATATAATAAATCAGTGATACTGCTAGAAAATTTTGTAAAAGAATCTTAGAGTTGGAAGGGACCCAAGGGCAATCTAGTCCAACCCCCTGCAATGCAGGAATCTCAACTAAAGCATCCATGACAGATAACCATCCAAACTCTGCTTAAAAACCTCCAATGAAGGAGTCTACAACATCCCAAGGGAGTCCATTCCACACTCAAACAGCTCTTAGTGTCAGAAAGTTTTTACACACGTCTAGTCAGAATCTCCTTTCTTGTAACTTGAAGCCATTGGTTCGAGTCCTACCTTCCAAAGCAGGAGAAAACAAGCATGCTCCCTCCTCCATGTGATAGCCCTTCAGATATTTGAAGATGGCTAATTGTGTGAAAACACAATTTAGACACCCTGGAACCTTAAACCTTTTGATAAAACAATATATGCATATATTGCTGAAAGCACTAAACCGTTATCATCTAAGGGGTAGTTTAATACTGGAACTACAGCTAGATCTGGAACTACTGTATGATTTATACATCATACATACGTTTCTTCTCTGCCTCAGGACAACAGAGAAGAGCAGTGGTAGTTTCTCTAGTAGCAGTAACTATATAGAACTAAAGTACTTTACTGCTGATGTTACCGCTGCAATAAACCACTGATAATAATACATAATGTTTGTGTAGTGCTTCACCAGTATTATCTAGTTGTAATCCTTGAAACAATCCTGTAAAACAAATCAGTATTATCTCCATATAGCAGATGGAGCATCTGAAGCTGAGAGAGTGTGACTTAGAATAATAGGATTGTAGAGTTAGAAGGGACTACAAGGGTCATCTAGTCCAACCCCCCCAATGGAGGAATCTTTTGCCCAATGTGTGGCTCAAACCCACAACCCTGAGATTAATACTGTAGTCTTATACTCTACCAACTGAGCTATCTCAGGCTACCTAGAAAGCGCATGGCAGAGGTGAAACTTCTGAATTTACAGCTCATTCTCATAGACACTGTGCTATACCAACTCTCATACTGCCAGGGCCACCATACACAGTTTATGTACTGATGTCCGAAAAGGCAGGTAAACCTGTTAGGTAGGTCAGCAAGGAAAGCAGAAGCTGAGAGAAAGTGGGTTGTCTAAAACAATTATGTGAATTCATTGGTCTGAATTGAGAATTTACCAGCTCATTGTCTTAAACATTGTGCTTCACCATTATGAATGGCCAGGTTTGCACAAAATGCTAAAATATTATTTAGCATTACCAGCCTAAACTGAAATAAGCCTGAGTAAAGCCTCAGATTCACCTGGTCTCCTCTGCTTCCCTCTCCTCTCCTCCTGTGTTCTAGGAGAAGGATTTCACCACCATTTCACAGAATCTCCGTTTGACATTCCATTCCAGTTTAAAACCTACTCTGTCCAATTTAAAAAAATCAAAAATCAAACCATGGCTTATGAATCTGGCTTGTTTAAAAGTACAGAACTTCTTATATGAAGTTCAGTGGTTAGGCAGTAAAACGGTTCAAAACACAGTTCAAGTGTTAAATCACAGGACTGTGGTGTGCAATTGAGTTTTACTTATAAGAATAAGCTTACCCACTGACACCTCTCTGGACACGCTGACAGTTTCTGTGAGAAAGCTTGGGACCTGAATGCATTAGATGCTCACTCCTACAGCGCTGGCAGGTGTGGGATACGTCAAATAAATTTATTACATTCTGTGTTAATAATGAAAATTATGGAAAAGCTAGATGAAAGTGCTCTACATCCAGCTAATTTGAAGCTACCTTAGGAGACAATAACAAGCTTCTAACAGTTTTTTATTTTTCTAAAAAAAAAAAATACACTAATTATGCTTAATGTTCCCTGTCGCATTAGCTTTCATGGTAATTATATTTCAAAACTTTTGCAATTAGGGTGCAGTTAATATTGTGGAATATTGCAATTATTTTTCATTGTGACACCTCTATTGAAAACTGGTGGCATAATGATCACATTGTTCAACTAAATCAGAACTGTAGAAATATGGCAAATGAACCAATTACAGATTATTATTTCTAATTACAGATAATGCCATTTTCCATGCCTTTGTCCAAAAGAATTTCTCTAAAAATGCACATGTCCACAAACGAGCACATACACACTCTCTCTCCTGGTCACAATCCAAAGCAGCACATGCACATGTTCCATATCATACTAACCCCCCCCCCCTTAAAAACAGTGACTAAGGGATTTTCCATGAAGATTGTTTTATGGGAAAGCTGAGCAAAAAAGATGATGTGTGTACTAACTGCATGAGAACAAACTGCCTTTTGAACTCAGTAACATTCATTTGCCTTTTTATTTATACTAATAAGTTAGTATACACTTTTCAGCCTTGCAAGGTAAAAGATATAAACCAGTTCAAATAAAAAAATAGAAACACCCATTAATGAACACTAGAAAACAAGCATCACTTAAATAGCCATTCAGATCTTTGCGGGGAAGTGATGTGATCTGATAATAAAGTGCCTCCAGACCTTTGAAGCCCCATTCTGAAGCTGTGAAAGTGGGGAGGCACTTCAGCACATTTGGGGGTGAACTGAAGAAATCCTTAAGGTTTTTGGGGGGACATATATATATATATATATATTTAGCAGTCAAAGATTCCGTAGCAAAAGCTTCCTTTTTTGTTAACCATTTCTCTCTTATGAAATGATTATGCCAGTGATGTAAAGGATGAGAGCAACTGTCCTCCATCCTGGGGCCATTTTTGCTCCACGGTGCATTTGAGGAAGTCCCATTTTGTCATAAATCCCATTAAGTAAGATCCGAATATCATTTAGGTCACTCCTTTTATTCAATGACCTCCTGCACTGTATATTCACAAGTCATTTGCTTGCGCATGCTTAGTGAAATAGGAGTAACAACCTACCCTTCAACCTGGTTAAACTGGGGTCTGTGCCAATCAGAACATATAATCCTATGTAACACTGTTCTAATAAATTCCCGAAAATAGCAATGAAACTTGTAGAATAATTGTGTCTTGTCTGCTTTCAAAACTGATGATAAAGCCACCAAATATTTTCCTTACGATCCTGTTTATTTGAAAGACAAATATTGCCCCCTTCCTCAAGTCACTCATGGCGTGATCAGTAGCATTTTAGATATTTAGCTAACTATTTATCTATGTATGCTAGTAATATAATTTGACTGTCATAATAACTGTGAAATCATTTGAAAAACCAATCTTAATGAAGCAATTATCAGTTTTAAAATGCAGGTCAAACAGTCGGGAGGGGGGAATAAATACCGGGAAGAAATCTAGCCTATATAATATACCAAGACCAAAAGCCCCCAAAAACACGCATGTCAAATTAAAGGCCACAAACCCTGGGGACATACTATGCAGCAATACAGAGTAGAAGGAAGTAAGTTCTAAGCCAGGCGTAGGCAACCTAAGGCCCATGGGCCACAAGTGGCCCAGAGGGGTCGTCTAACCGGCCCATGAGCTGCCCCTGAACCGAGCTGCCCGCTTGGCGAGTCCCCGCCGCTGCGCTAAATTGGCGCAGCGCGGTGTGGGGACTCGCTTTTGCGGTGCCAGAAATCGTGTCTGTGCAGGCTCAGACACCGGAAATCGCAGCCACGCAGATGCCAGAAATGACAGCCAAATGTGCAATCCGGCCCACGGAGGGATCTCCGCTGGAGTGAACCAGCCCAGGCAAGGTAAACCTTGCTGACCCCTGCTCTAAGCAGTGACTTGTGCAGATACCCAACGATGGCAGCTTAATCTTAATCAGGCAATTCTGTTTTGTCTCTGGACTGGGAGTAACTGCATGATCCATTCACATTCAACAGAGGACCTTTCTTATGTTCTGCCGGTCCAGGGAATTTCGTTAAGGGGATCCAGGGTGGAGGTGCTTCTGTCTAGATGCCCAGGTGGGGGCTGATGGGCCATCGCCACTCAGGCATAATCTCAGACACTATAAAATGTAAGAGTGAATGGATTTTTATTTAAACAACGTAGTTTATGAAACACCTCTTATAATTTTAATTATGTTGTCCTCATTCACACTGAATATCTTTAAAAGAAGTTATACTATTTGGATTTAAAAAGTATCAGTCTCACAGACAGCTTGTGAAAAATATCTGTTACAGAAAGAACACAATAGGAAAGCTATTCAGTTGTAAATTAGTATTTTTACAAACATCTGAATGTTCCATGGCCTTAATTTGCTAACTTAAATATCTACATATGTGAAAAGGAGAAAAGTGAAACTATGCATTTACTAAGTTTTTGACACTTATTAAAATACAAATATGATGCATCCTCTATGTTCTTTCTTTGATTTCAGAAAGCTCAAAATGCAGCTCTGCTTTTTATTTTTCCAAAGGTTTCATTTAATTCATTGACTTGTTTTTTCCTTCTCTTTCATGTACGTATCTGATGACTCTCTGCAACACTTCTAACAAAGGCATTATCAAATTCTGTTTTAATTCACAGGACATGATGCAGCCTTATTGATTTCAAGGAAAGAGACTCAAAGATTCACCTAAGTCCTCCACTCAAAACAGTCAACAAAGACTCAGTTGTGTTTAATTTTGTTCCTATATTAGCACATTAGCCATCAACAATGGAGTATGTGTATATACAGTGTAAGTGTCACCTAGAGTGACCATATAACCACAGTTGAATGTGCAATCCTAAGTAAGCCCAACTGACTCAATGAAACTTACTTCTGAGTATCAGAATATTACCAAACAAGAATATTCCAAAACAAGAAGGAATTATGGGTTTTCTCCCCCTACTTGGAGCATGGAAGAAAACAATGAGTGCATAACTGGTTGAAATGTCGTGCAACATCAGCTATGCAGCTAATGAGATTACTGGTCCATACCTACTACTATAACATAAATTGTATTATATTATAAAAATAGGCACAGAAGAAACAAGAGGAAGGTGAGGAAATGATGACAGGGATAAATAGGAAAATGACGTATTTTAGTTACATCATTAGGTTTAGTCACAAGTAAGGTAACTTTTGAGGTGGGATCCAAAGAAAGATGCTTCAAGCCATTTTGGGAGGCAGTAAATGAGAAAGGACATACTGTTTTGAGGATCAAGGAAACCTGGATAAGCAAAGGTCACAGACAGGAAGAGAGATATAACTAAATATATAGCAATGATGGGCTTTTAAAGGAAATGACAAGAAGCTGTGATGGATCTGGAAGATGAGAGGAAGCCTGTATAGGAATTTAAGGGGAATATCATGTGGTAAGAGCAACCAGAGAGGAGTAATTTTGGCAGCAAAGGGCTGGGTAGACAAGTGATTACTAAGGCAAGATAGCAACATCAAGCACAATAAAACTACTAATAGTCAAGGCAAGAGATGACCAGAGTGTGGGGCAGAGTTTTTGCCAAAGTAACAGGTAGGAAAGGGTATGTAATTTTGCGAAGGGAAATGTTACATAATTTTGTGATGGAGTGAAGACTCAAAAAGAAATGAAATCTACACATGAACCTACAGAATCTACATGTGAACATATAGAACAGCCTTGCTAGATCAGACCAAAGGCCTATTTATTCCAGTATTGTGTCCTCACTGCAGTAAACCAGTTACCTATGGGAAGTCAATAACAGTCTCCTGTATATGATCCCCATCAACAAGTATTCAGAGGCATAAATCCTCTTATTCTGGAGGCAATATATCAATCACGATTAATAGCTATTGATGGCCTTATCCTCCATGTATCTGTCTAATCCCCTTTTGAGGCTGACCAAATTGGTGACTATTTGCATATACATTATACCTTTAAAGCATATTTGAAGATCATTTTCCTCCTCAAAGAATTCTGGACACTATGGTTTGTTAAGTACTGATGGGAATTGAAATAGCCTAACAACAGTTTGAGGCATCTAACAACACTTCTGTTAAAACAATTTAAATCATAAAAATTCAATTAATGGCACTT